GCCTAACGTTTGACCGTCCGTCTTATTTGAAAAAATTATGAAAAAAATTAAAAAGACAAGTCACGCATAAAATATTAATCATGTTTTATCATCTAACAACAATAAAAATACGAATTATAAAGAAATTTCATATAAGACGGACAATCAAAGTTGGACACGGAAACCCAGGTTTGATTTTTTTTGGACGGAGGGAGTAGGTACGTAGTACATCAGTACATGCGTGAATACCTTTTATAAAGTCGAAAAAGGAAAAACAATCCGAAATATATATGTAAGGATCATATACTTTTCTCTCTACAGTCTACACTCCACAATCCTGATGAAAGTTTCCTGAGGCACATGAAGTAAGAGGGAGATGAAGATGGCGTCAGCGTTCTCCTGAAAAAAAAAAGATTATTTGTTCTTCGTCGCCGGCCGGTCTTGTACTCTACACAGCAGGTAAGACGACAAGTCTGCACTGTCGCCTGCACATTAATTTATACAGTATTAATTGGCCTGCAACTAATTAATCTACTAATTATCTGCATGCAGATTTTCTATATATATATATATATGCGCACGCAGTCACTGAAACTGACCTGCCTACGTCTCCGTCGATCTGATGCGTGCGTGCGAGATTGTTGTTGTTTGAAGAATTAAAAACGTTATTACGTAGGCGATGATGGATGACAAGGTAATTAAGCTGGCCGGGCGTTGACAAGATCATTTCAGACTCTGTTTAGATTTTACTTGGTAGTAGTTGGTACTGCCTGCCTGCAGTGTGCATATTGATATTGTTCTCTCCTCCCTGAAGAATTTTTGGGTTTTTCTAGAATGGAATTGGGGGTATTAAGTAAGTATAACAAATTATGTCAATCTTGTCCTGAATTATTTTGTGTTTGGTTTTTACTTAAATCCGATGAAGTGCTCCCAAGTAAGAAAAACCCCAATTTCTTAAGACATCACCAATATAATTAGTAGCCATATCAATCATCAAATTAAACCAGTATTTGTGCTTTGAGAGGGTTAAGTAGACCAGCCGAAAAACTTTGGAGGATAGAGCAAACTTTTTCCTTAGTTACTTAATTACCAATATCCTTCTATAGCTATAATATGATAATTTTAACTCTAATGGAGGACTTAGTAGAGTTTCCTAATTTTAGATATTACTAGTAAAATGCTCAAGCTTTTCTACGACAGAAGAAAACAATATCATAATATATCATAGCAAAAAAATATTTATTTATTAAATATCTTAATGTCACTTGTTTGCTTATTTGATTATCTATTATCCAGTTGTTTAAACCATATGTTGGACTATTTCACAATATTAAAAAAATATTAGGAGGATAATTTATAAAAACTGCAAAAATAATAGTGGGGCGGCAGATTCACTGCCACCACCACTAAATGGTTTTAAAGGTGTGTAGATTTTGAATTTTTCCCGGCTAATAAACTATTGCCTAATCTATCCCAAAGTAAATTTGATCTCTCGCATCCCAATAATACCAAGGAGAAAATACCAAAGCATCCCACATTAACAGGAAAATGGCATTGGTGGGATAGTAACCAAGGGGTTTGAAAATGTTTACTGGTTAAATAAATAATGAATGTTTGCTAAATTGCAAAACGTTTTTTTTCCAAGTAAAAGTCCTCACCATTTTCGTAGATAAACACCGGAAATGGGTGGTTATGTGACAAGGTTTTTCTATGCTAAGGGCTGTGCTTGGATCGGCCCATTTAAATCGTAAAATCTGAATATCCGTTTAAATTTTCTAGAAAGTGGGCATTTTCCTGCATGTATTGACTAGATTTGGATAAAAATAAAGACATATATAATTTATTCAAAGTGAAATGTTGAAAAAGGAGTTTCTACAAGACCAAATTATGTATCAAACTTAAACATTTAATTTAAATTAACAATGTACTACTTCCAGAAGAAACTCCTAAATTTCAAAAGGCTCTTCACTCTAGGAAGAAGATTATAATTTATCCAAATAAGATTAAAATTAAGGGCAGGTCTTACTTCTAGAGAAAAAAAATCGTGCATGGTGTGCTACGTTATACTAGTTCAACTAACGAATTAAGGCTTTCATATCTCTGTCCTAAGTATATACATATCCACATTGAAGAAAAAGCACGGCTCAACTTGTCTGTTTTCTGAATGAACTGCTCAACTTGTCTGTTAATTTAATCTCCGAAAGAGACAGCGTTGTCTATTTCATCAAACGAGATTGGGATCTTAATTAATCTCCCAATCCCAAAATAGTTACTTTCTCTGTGCTAAAATATAACTGCCTAGTAACCAATTAACGGTATCTAATCGGGTCAGGTAGCTACATTTTAGAATGGAGGTAGTATCATTTTAGATTCAAAATTTATCTAATCAAGCCTATCATTTTGCGCTATTCTATCAAACCAATCATCTTCGATTTAATTTTTTTTTCTAGCCTTCCCAACAATCTTATAACTCTTCACCATACATTATTTAATAGGCAACACTCTAATTATAATTTATTTATAAATCTTAATCTCCGCTAAATTAATAATCCAGAACGACGATTCATTAATTTTGGGAGGGTGGAACGTAGTAAGTAATAGCCAATGTGCTGCTGGTATACAACACAGTTCAACGCAGAGTTAATAGTTAATTCCTGAAGTTGTCCAGCTCCGACCAAGCTGCTGCTGCTGCTGCTGCTTTGCTATTAGCTAGTACCACTTCTTGATCAACCCAAATTGAACTATTCCATCCTGACCAAGATTGGCAACTTTTCCCGGATATAGCTGATTCAATTCCGTCCCAATTGTTTCTTTACTTGTCTTTAGTTTAGACGTTATCATGCATGGTCTTAATTAGATGAACAAATAGAAACGCACCCTGTTCAATGCATGGCAGAACTAGTCTGGAGCAAACTTTTATCGTTTGATTTATTAAGTACAACTATAGATACTTTGATCAAACTACTATCGTAAACTACAAATTTAAATTTGAAGTGGCGTATTAGAAACTACATATTTGACATCAAATTTATCACAAATATAAATTTAGGGTGGAGAATTGTAAAACTAGATTTAGTAACAAATTTATCACAAAACTACATATATTGTAGAGTTTAAATCTCTACAACACTACCATTCTAATAGATTGATAATCATTTTTACTTTTTTATTAAACCAACATTAAATTAGTAGTTTTGGGATAATAACTTCATTAAATCTGTAGTTTTACGATATTCCACGTTAAGTAGTTTTGTGATAACTTTGTGCCTGAATTTGTAGTTTTTTCTGTAACTTCATTAAATATGTAGTTTTACGATATTTCACGCTAAATGTTTCGTGATAACTTTGTGCATAAATTTGTTTTTTTTTGTAACTTCATTAAATCCGTAGTTTTACCATATTCCACGTTAAATATAGTTTTGTGATAACTTTGTGCCTAAATTTTGTAGTTTTTTTTTAACTTCATTAATTCTGTAGTTTTACGATATTTCATGTTAAATGTAGTTTCATGATAACTTTTTGCCTAAATTTGTAGTTTTTTTATAAATTCAGTAAATTTGTAGGTTTACGATATTTCACGTTAAATGTAGTTTCGTGATAACTTTGTGCCTAAATTTTTAGTTTTTTCATAAATTCATTAAATTTGTAATTTTATGATATCGAGTCAAATTTTTCTAGTTTTGTACCATCTTAAATGTGGTAGTTTTATGATAATTTCCTCAAAATATATATAGTTTTATGAAGTTTACTTTGTTCTATTCATATTATCCCAATATAATGCTACGGCAATTCCTATTTTTAATTATAGATGTATGCCCTCAATAAGCAATGGCACATATATCAACTATTGGAACTACAATTAACATCATTAAACCATTTTACTTACTGTAATCATATAATTCAAACAAGAGAATTAAAGCTTTAATTTAATCTTTTCAAAGAAAAACTATTTTAGTCCCTCGAACTATTCTATCAAACACTTTATATAGACACCAATATGTTTTTCAGCTCACTTTATCCTCTGGCCCTAAATTAACTAGTAAATTGGTTCAATTTATATCCCAATAACATTTTTTGTCTCTGTGTATACAAGTCATATTTTTCATTGGAATTTTGTGATGGGATGATAGCTAGTGTTGTACCTTATGTCTCAAAGTTTTCTTTGAAATTACTCCTGTTTACATATATATATGTGTTGGACACCGCATCTATGATTGATTTAAATAGCAGATTTTAAACGGTAAATAAACTGTCAAGAAAAAAATCGTAAATATTTCTGTAATACAATTTATATTGTCAAACATGGTTTTAAAAATTTGAAATTAAAACATATTCCACATAATGAGAAATATAAACCATTTAGGTTGTAAAATGAGCTGTTTGAAGTACTTCGCAGGATAAAATGAACGTAAGCTGACGCTGCTTTCGATTGGCTTGTTTGGATTGAAATTTTTAGCGCATGCAAAATGAGAAAGGTCATTAGCATATAATTAATTAAGTATTAATAATTATAGAATTAAAAAAAGAATTTATTTGAATTTTTAAACAACTTGTATATAGAAATTTTTATAAAAAAACGCATCGTTTAACAGTTTGAAAAGCGAGAAAGTTGAAGTTTGTAGTTGGAGAAAAGAACTAGGCTATTATTTCCGTGAAGTACTACGTAAAGTTTATTTATTTTTTATGTTCGTATGATCCTTGCAGAGTTATTATTAATTTACACGCATGCAGCAGGCCTGGTATAAATTAAATCGAGATATATTATATTATTATATCTATCTATCTCCAGAATATACCGGAGTATTACAAAATACTAGTACTGCATGGCTACATGTGTCATTAATTGTGATACAGTACGTATAACTTTGTCAAAGCTACATGGACTCGGCTCAATACTGGTTGCGCCGTTTAAACCAAGATACCTTCCGTTTAAACCATTCATTACTTATCTATTTGTATACAAATACGGAGTATATTACTTCTATCTCTCTAGATGATTTGGTCACTGCATTGACCGGTCAGCATCAACGACTCCTTCTTCCTCCTCCTCGCCTTCGTCATCCCTTCCCGATTCCCTACATGTGATGCATATATAAATTAACCTAGCTTCCTTGCTCGATCGTCTCCAACGCACACTGATCTCCCCTGCGGCCTCTCCGGCGATCCGTACGTCGCCGGCGGCGATCGATTTGTATATCAATATATGCTGTTCTTGTGCTTGTGCACCATCGTCGTCGTACTCCAGTGCTACTTGGCCGCCGCCGCCGCCGCCGCCGGCTTAGCTTCTCGCCGCCGTAAGCTGGCCGTCGTCGTCATGGCGTGCATGCTCTGCTGCTCCCCATTGCCCGCGCTGTCGTCCCCGGCCACCGGCGGCGCCGCCGTCGTTGGCTTCTCCTCTTCGTCGCGGAGGAAGGCGGCGCACGTGCACCCGGCGGTGGCGGTGAAGGATCACGACCTGTCGTCGTCGTCGCCGGCGGCGTGCGGCGACGAGGGCGGCGGTGCCGTGGTGATAGAGGAGGAGGCACATCCGTCGATGATGATGAGTGTGGCGGCGCCGGCGATGAAGAAGAAGGCGGTGGCGGCGAGGTGGAGGCCGCCGAGGCTGGTCGTGCCGGCGGTGGCTGGCGCCGACGAGGCAATGGCGGCGGCGGCGGCGGTGAAGGCGGCGAAGGAGAAGGAGGAGGAGGAGGCCATGGAGGTAGAGGGAGAAGGGTTTTGGGTGGCGAGTAGGAGAGGACTTAGGCATGCAATGGAGGATGGCTATGGTGTGATCACTCACAAAATTGAAGGGCATTCCCAAATGGTAATTAATTAATCTTTTTTGCTTCTTACAAATGATTTGTCTGGCTGGATCATTTCATAAAAAAAGACAGTATTATTAATATAATAAATTACTTGGATTTGATTTCTAGTGGTGACACTCGAGAACACACAACATCTCCAAAAAAAAAGAAGATTCACAAATGTATTTTAGTTTTAAAATGTTTTTAACATTTTAGAACAAAGATTACATATAGTATAGAAGAATTGGCCGGCATATTTAACTATGCCATAGGCTTGGAACCAGGGGCGGATTCAGGAAAAAAAAATTAGGGGGGGGGCTCAATTTACACAGTTTCTTCAACCTCCAGCCATTTAAGAACCTTTAGTTTATCATTCATGGTAAAAAAATTGAAGGGGGTGCTCCAGGGGGTATCCATGGGTCTTGTGGGTGTAGGGGGGACTCGAGTCCCCCTACACCCACGTTGGATCCGCCCCTGCTTGGAACAACATGAATTTTATTTTATTTTTTAACGTAAGGGCGGGATATGAATTTTAACTTTACTCACTTTTAATACGCATTTGCTTGAAATCAGAAGAATTTGAGATTGTTTGAGAGTGAAAGTTGAATTGATTCTCTTTGAGAATACATGAAAAGTGCACCATTTAAAGCTAGTTTGTGATATAAATATATTCCCACATGTAAATGTGAAAATTGCTGAATTAATGTCATTGGACGTAGAAAAGATGAAAAGGGGTGTCTTGTATTTAATTATGAGACGCCGGACATACACATTTTCCTTTTCTTTTTGGTATTTATATCCATTTTCTGCACTCAATTAATCATGCAAGTTTGTGGCTTTAGTTTCTATTGAAGCAAAGAGTGGATTTTATCTATTATCTAAAAACTAATTTAAGACGCAGTATATTGTGACATACGGTAAAATAAAAGTAGTTCTCGCTTGAATACTAACTGCATATGCATATACCATTTGTTCTGGAAATAGTTGGTTTATTAATTCAGCCAACCTTATCTTATTTCAATCAAGTTAAAACAATTAGTAATGCAATGCAAATCCCTGAAGGAGAATGCATGACGTATACCACACATTTTTATACAATTCAGACCGTTCTCAGATCTCAACGAACTAATAATAATTACTACTCACAAAGATGACAAAAAGTAAACGAATCCCAACCGAAGTAGCTAGAGATTAATTATCCCAGTTTGTTGACTCAGTTAATCAGCTAGAGATAGATGGACGTACGCCAACAAACACCAAGTCACTGAGAGTATACGTAATTAATTAGCACAAGTACGTACGTAACGTCTCAGTACTGTTTCTCATTATTATCTGATCTTTTTTTTTCTCTTCAATCAGGCATTCTACGGTGTGTACGATGGTCACGGCGGCCGCGCCGCCGTAGACTTCGTCGCCGGCCGCCTCGGCAACAACGTCGTCGCCGCCGCGGAGAAGCAAAGATTATCAGAAAAAGCATCGTCTCCGGCGGCGGCCGACCACGTCGCGGCGGCGATCCGAGCGGCGTACCTGGCCACCGACAGCGAGTTCCTCAGCCAGGTGAGCACAGTGTTCAACACATTCCGAAACTGAAAAATTTCGGTCCTAGCAGATTCCGATACGATATTATTTCGACCGTAATTTTAATTTTTTTTATGAATTTTGTAATATTTTTGTTTAAAATTTTAGACCAAAATTAAAATTTCGGTATATCAGCACACTCCGACACAAACACCGAGAATGAAAGATCGAACCCTGGGTGAGCATATAGCCATCGTGCGTTTTACCGGGTCTTGCTCGATCTGCTCACTCTGAACTCGTCAAAAAAACTTAAAAGGATAAATGGCCTTTTGTGCTTGGCAATTTGCGTGTGGTTTGTTGTTGTCTGAAGTCTGAACTGCACGCGTATCGATCATTGGCTGCCCTGCCATGGCGATGGTGACGCTTGCATCTTCGTTTGTTTTGTTCGAGTGTGAAGGCGAGATGTTGACGGCGAAAAGGGACACTAGCTAATCTGTGCTGCTCAGTTGCTTCTTTCACTTGCCGTGTCATAGGTGTCAAGTCAGATTCCCCATATATATACATATACATATATATGTATATATATATATCCTTATCAAAAAAAAGACCTGTAAAGTTAGCTTTAATTTGCTCCTGTGGTATGACAGAAACTTTAGGAATTTATACTAATGATAATGATGATTTGCGCAAAGCCTTTTTATATTTAAGAATCGACCAATAAAAGGTCGTCCTCAAAATCGATCTATGTGATTTCAATTCGATATTCCGCTTGATATATCATCAGGAGGGAAATAGGGAAGAATTAAGGCATCTGTCCCATAATCCCGAGCTTTTTAATTTATTTATTTTTAAAATTTATTGGCCTTGTGCTTATTGGCTGAGAATGAACATGTAAATAATTTGTATTGTTAAAAAAAATCAAATGTTATGTAGTCTGATAAAAAGAAGATCCTAATTAATGAATAATAGAACTGATGAGAAGTAATCTTCATTAATTTGTCTCGGGTTGATAATACTTATCGTTTTGGATAAGGGTGAAGTCAAACTTTAGAATATTTGATTATGAATCATTTTTAAAATATTTGTCTTCCAAATATGGTGACTACATGTATAGATTAGTCTTAAAAAGTACTTTAATAAGATCATATATTTGCTAACAATTTTATATATATTATAATGAAAAATAATGGTCAAAGTTGTTTTTTGGAGACCGTACCCTTGTCCAAAACAACAAGTATTATCAACCCGGAGGGAGTAGAAATGGCTGTGCACTAATTAAGTCTCGATCGTTTATTATTGTTGTACAGGGAACAAGAGGCGGCGCATGCGCTGCGACGGCGCTGGTGATCGACGGCGACCTCTACGTCGCCAACCTCGGCGACTGCCGCGCCGTCATCAGCCGCCACGGCGCCGCCGCCGCCCTCACCTCCGACCACACGCCGGCGAGGGACGACGAGAGGTCCCGCATCGAGTCCTCGGTAATTAAGCTAGCCCCAAGAAACACACAAAAAAAATCAAATCAAATTATCAATCAATCACCAAATTAAACTTAATTATGATTGAATTTGATCGATCTCTATCAGGGCGGGTACGTGAGCTGCGGCAGCAATGGCGTGTGGCGCGTGCAGGACTGCCTCGCGGTGACGAGGTCGTTCGGCGACGGCGGCCTGAAGCGGTGGGTGGTGGCGGAGCCGGAGGTGAGCAGGACGCCGCTCGCCGGCGCCGGCTGCGAGTTCCTCGTCATCGCCTCCGACGGCCTCTGGAACAAGGTGTCCAACCAGGAGGCGGTGGACGCCGTCGCCGCCGGCCATTATTCCGTGGACTCGTGCCGGCGGCTGGTGGACATGGCGCGGCGGAGGGGGAGCAGGGATGACGTCACCGTCATGGTCGTCGACCTCAAGAGGTTTTTGAACTGCTGATTAATTAGCGACAAAATTGTCAACTGACTAACCATAATTATTAGGAGTTAATTAGATGGATTAACTAAGCTGATGATGGATGGGAGATGATATGTAGCTGATTAGCACTGATGGCATGATAAGCCTGTAGATATGCAGCCTCTTTGGTTTGGTAATTCTTTTGACAGTAATATTTTTGTATATGCATGTACTATGTATTTATGCATGTATATTTGTAGGATGAAATATAGGGGCTGGCAATGAGAGGCTAGTAGCACTGTATCCCTCAATTTGTAAATGTAAGATATGTCAAAATCCAATTAATTAACTTGTGTAAATTCGATCGATGTAGTATATTGAAGTCTTTGAACACTGAGGCAATTCCTTACCAGCAACCGCAAGACTTCACTAAATTTCTTACTTGAAGTTGGACACCACATTTTTGGATTATAAATTCCAGATCTCATAATAAAGGAATTAACAACAAAAAAGAAAAAGAAACAGAAAGAAAAACTTAGCTCTATTTCCACTTACCAGATGAGCCACACAAAAAACCACACTCTTGAAGCGCAACCCGAATTCGAACTCTTGCACCCTTCATCAATGATCCATCGACCTCTTACTGGCTCTTTCCCCACGCTGACCCTACCGCCGCCCGGATCCAACCGATTGAGATTTATCACCTGTCGTCTACAATAATGTTTAGAAGTCTCTAAGTAATAAGCCACTATATACAGGTTGAGAACCATGATTTACCACCTCCGTTTTTTAATATATGATATCGTTTATTTTTTTATAAATGTTGGATTATTTGTGTTATTTAAAATTTTTGTGTAAATATAAAAAAAAAATTAAGTCACGCTTAAAAAGTCACAATAAAATAAATAAGTTTAAATAAGATGAATGATTAAACGTATAAAAAATCAAGGGTGTTGTATATTAAAAAAAAGAGGTATATGTTTAAGGACTACAAGCCAATACTACTGCTAATCAATAGTGTCTAATGTTGGATTTATTCACTAACATGTTCTCCACCATGATATTGATCATTTGGTATCTTGTAACATGATCCATCAAAGATCACCGGTCAATGAATATAGGAATAAGTTCAGTTTGTGTCCCTCTATTTGTCGCCCAGTCCGATTTCCGTGCCTTGACCGCAAAAAGGATACGACTCATCCCCCAACTTCCGAAAACCGGGCAAACGAGGTCCCTCGGCGGTTTTGGCTGACGTGGTACCTACATGGCTTGTTTGATTAGTTTTCCATCCCACGTAGCATTGATGTGGTGCTAACGTGACAATTATATCTCAGAAAAATAATAAAAATCGTGGGCCCACATGTCAGCCATGGGAAAAATAATTTAAAAATGGTGGGTCCCACATGTTAGCTACACAAAAAAAAATATGGTGGGGCCAACGTGGGCCCCACATGTCATTCTCAAATGACCAAATCCAATCCTCTTCTTCCTTCTCTCTCCGGCTCTCCCCATCTCTCTACACCCTCCTCTCGCTGAGCGGCGTCCAGCACGGCGGGCGGCGGCGGGTGGCGCGGCGACGGACAGCGCATGGCTGGTGGCAGGCGACAGTGCGCGCGCGGCGGCCATCTCTCTCTTGCTCTGCTTGCCTAGCCGTCCGCTGCCCTTCTCCACGATGGCCGACGGCGGGAGAAGAGGGAGCGACGCGCGGCGGCGGGAAAGGAGGGAGCAGCGCGCGGCGGCGTCGGCGGCAAGAGAGGAGGGAGCGGCGCCGGCGGGAGAGGAGGGCGTCCGGGTGGTCGGCGGCGGCGAGACGGATGGCGGCGTCGATGGTGTCGGATTCCGGGGGGCAGGACTCCCCAGCAGTGAGCACTACGCCAGAGAAGAGCGCCGCAGCCGCCACGGCGGCGCCCCGAGCTGACCCGACAAGGAAGTCCTCCTCCTCGTCGTTCCCTTACCCCTCTCGGCTCTCCCTCTCCTCGCCGTCCTCATCGCCATCTTCCAGGGTGCCGCCGCGCTGCTCGCCTTCATGCGGACCGGTGGCGTGACGACCGCCGCCGCCGCCGCCGCCGCCGCGGCGCCCCAAGTGGACCCGACAAGGAAGTCCTCCTCCCCGTCGTTCCCTTCCCCCTCTCGGCTCTACCTCTCCTCGCCGTCCTCATCGCCATCTTCCAGGGTGCTGCCGCGCTGCTTGCCTTTATGCGGACCAGCGGCGCTTCGGTCGGGGGGCGGCGCCGACCACACCCGCCGCTGCCGCCGGAGCTCGCCTGCTCCGCCGTCCACCCGCGCCGTCCGCTGCTCGGGAAGGAGAGAGAGAGAGGGGGGAAAGGGAAGAATAGAGAGAAGGGAGAGGGAATAAGAGAGGAGTGAGGCTGACATGTGGGGCCCATGTGGCCCCCACCATTTTAAAATTATTTTTTTTGTGTGCAGCTGACATGTGGGACCACGCTTTTTATTATTTTTCCGAGATATAATTGTCACGTAAGCGCCACGTCAATGCCACGTGAGATGGAGACCTACTCAAAACAAGCCACATAGGTGCCACATCAGCCAAAAACGCCGAGGGACCATGTTTACCCGGTTTTCGTAAGTTGGGGGACGAGCCATACCCGGTTTTGTAGTCAAGGGGCAAAAATCGGACTGGGGTCAAATAGAGGGACCCAAAGTGAACTTATTCCATGAATATATAACGGAGGCCCATGAAAATAATCACTAAGCAAGCCTCCTGTCCAATGGCCCAATATGCGGCCCATGGCTGGCTTATACTAGGCTCTCTTCCAGCCGACCACAGTAAACACTAAGGGCCTGTTCACTTTGATGCCATTTCCAACCTTACCAAATTTTGGTAAAGTTGCCAAAAAAGTGGCTATATTTAGTTTGCTGCCAAATTTTGAGAACTATATAAGAAATCCTACCAAAATTTTGACAATTTTGGCATAGTTGCCAAAATTTGGCAATGCCAAAATTTGGTAAGGTTTTTTTGGCATCAAAGTGAACAGGCCCTAACTCTACTGTCAAACAAACAAATTATCAAGAGGTTGAACCAACCAAATCACATACATATATCCATATTATATACTCCATCATGTGTGTCTCAATGTCACAATCATGTGATCTCACCTGAAAAACAAGCATCTTTTTCAATCATCTTTTTCACCTCACAGGGCACAGCAATTAACAAATTAAGGATTAGCACGAGGAAGAAGAACAAGAGGATGATGTTTCCTGACACATGTCCTCCTACTGACGTTAGATGCAGAGTTAAAAAGAAAAAAATCCAGAAAGGCGACATTCTGATTCTGATCTTCCATTGACCTCGTCTCTCTTTAACTTTTTTCTATTCACTTTTCCGAATTCCTTTTTAAATTTCTCTCTCTTTCTTTCATGTCTGTACTCCAACAAGAACGATTTATATCTAGCTTAGGTATCTTTTGCAGAATCTTGGCCAGCTAAGCACGGCGATCTCAAAGATTATGATCTCTAATCTTTGTTTAGTTAGAGCCACAAGGACGATTAGTGTAGGCTAATTAAATAATTAGCTTTGTTAATTTGTGTCGTCCTCATGCTGCACTGATCGATGGAGACCGCATTTTGCTTTGTCGGGAGAGAAGATTAGATGATTTAATTATGATGGAGGTGTGTTCATGATGCCTCTGTCTCTTCCAGCAGGCAAAAGATTAACATATTTGGGAGAGATTTTGTTCCTGGTGAGCTTGTCTCTGTGTGTTATGTGGATGAATTTCCTGCTTCCTTCCCAGGTGCCCTATTTTAGGGGTGTCAATTATTAATTTGGAGTTTTTTTTTTGTTTTTGTCACTAACTCGTTCAATATATCATTTCTCATACAGCCCAAACATGTAAGAGATAATTCAGTGTTATTATGTAGGCATCAGATGCCAAATTAATGCAAAATGAGATGCATGTCAGAAGAGAGTGCATGCTGAAAACAATTTGTTTTCGTTGCTTCTTTTCTAAGAAGAGAATGTTGTAAATTCAATAACAAACGCGATTATAGTATGCCTACGTGCAACAACGTATTTACGTAGCACTCCCTCACTATGTCGTGTGTACATCAAAGGAGGGAATAGTAGTCGTATCCATTGGGCTGCAGGGATTGAGAACGGATAAAAAACGAAGTATTGTTTTTGTGTTTTGTTAATCGGAATCGAAAAACCCGAATATAAAAATAGAGTGAATACGATAACAAATATTTATCATAATAAAAAGGCGCTGATCAAATTGAGCTTCTAATTCTTTCTGAAACAACAAATAAAAATTTCAATTTTTAGCAACTAACAATACCACTTTATATCATGAGGACCATCGTCACGGTTCACATATATCACTTTGTCTGTTCACATATTCTTAAAATAAAAAATCCAGATTCATTTTCAACAGATAGTGCCCCTACTGTCTTCGTTTTTGTTTTCAAGAAAAAAAAAACGAATCCATTTCCATTTCAAAAAATTTCTAAAAAAAATTCCAACCAAGCTTTCCCTTTTTGAAATACGAAAACTTCCAAACGCAGGGTTGCCAGCGACGAACCCATAACAAAAATTATCTGGGATCCTTTACATGTCATAACACATATAATACTATAATTTTTAACTAATAATATAGTTAATATAGGCTAAAACAACTAAACATTGTGAACCAATGTAACTCAAAGATTGCAACAAGATAATATAATGTAAACAGATCGATCAAAACTAATATATTGTGATATATATAAATCCGATGGTTAAAGCATACACAACGGCTGGATTTCCGATGTAAGTAAATTAAAATGTATATCGGCTAATTAACCGATATATCTTATAACTGAAACCTACAATAATGATAATTCATCGGCCAGTACTCCGATGAACGTTGTATAAAAATCTATCACTTATTAGATTTAACCTTATTGACAGCAATTTAATAGATCGGACCTAACTGAGGCAGTATAAGATTAAAGATAAAAAGAAAAACATATTTAGTCAATAGATCTACACAAACGTGATGGATATAAGAAATCTATTAAAAACATCAGTACGATTAGAGAAATACCAACTTAGTTAGAATATCATACCTAACCGAAAAAGTACTAACTAAGCCGATACGACTCTAAACAGTGATGCAGTTAAAGATACAGTCAATATATCAATAGGCAATGCTTGCATCATCTTGAATAGAATATCGAACTTAACAGAGAAAGTTCTAGCCACGCTGATACTTGCGAAGTTGACGGAACTTACTTCCTCATCGGGGATCGAAACCGATGCAGCCCAACTCGAAACTAAGAACTGGCCAGAATAAAGGGTGGCGATGCGCCAAAAGTATTTGTATTGATCTATGGAGATAGATTATAAAGACACTAGGTGTATATATTTATACCCTGGGGTTGATACAAAATCCTGATTTAAGAAAAGGAAAATAATTAATCCTGCCTATTTAAGAAATATATTAAAAATATGAAACTATCTTGCCGTGGTTTTCACGATCTCTTTAAATTCAGCTTGATCTGGATAAACTTCTATCTACCAATCAACTTATTTCCTTAACCAATTCTACTAAAGAATCGTACCAAATGTTGGTGTTAACAAATTCCCCCAATTCTTGTGGTCGCCAACCCTATAGAATGACACGAGTGGGTAAATTAGGAGTAGGTATTTGCAACAAATTGTTTTATTGGGGGTGAATCTTAAACTCAAGGTGTCATTTAGGGTGGTTTTTGCAATTTCCCCTTCTTACATTCCAATGCATTTTTCTATAGGTGATATGACCTTCCTAACCTTGATTAATTTGCATTGGGGATGTCAGTGCTCAGAAACAGAGAGGGGGTTCAAAGCTCTTAATCACACAGTTAATGACAACTATGGGACACATTTGGGGTAAATTATGGTAACCATATCATTTTCTGCATCCTTTTATTTTGTCAGACTTTGCTAGCACAATAATCTTTTGTGAAATGGAGGGAGTACCAAAATATAAAAATTTCCTACATTTACTAAAAAAATATTGCAAATACGCCTTGTATTTATTAAAAAAATATTGCATGAATGCAGGGGCGGAGCTACTTATATTAAGAAGTGCCGAGGAACCTGGTTTAAATTTTTTTCTACAGTTTATCTATTTTCATCACATATATACCCGTCAGTCGAAACTTAAACACCCATATCAAACTTTGTTTGATTTAAATTAAACCAGAATAAAATAAGTGAGCGGAGCTCTCATTCTGTTCTAGCTCTTCCCCTTTACGAATGCCGTACAAGTTGCCGAGTTGGCATATATGTGAATGTGAGGCATGACAGCAGTAAAACCCATGCTGTTTAAATGCAGTCTCCAGTCGTTGCTCGCTGACACATGGCTGCAAGGCCCTGTGGTCGCCCATGCAAATAAACCGGGCATACATTATTATCTACCACCATTAATCCCTCTCATTTTCTTTGTTTTTTCCCCCTGAGTTGTAACTTTCGTCCTTATCACTCTGAATCTGCTGCTACTACACATCAGATACTGATGTGTAATGTTGATCCATGAAATGATAGAGCATGAAGTTTTTTTTTCCTTCTACTTAATATTAATGAGCATACATATATAGAACTTGTACAATGATGTGATAACGAAACTTAAGGTACTATTCTTTTCAGCTAATTTATTAGATACTGGCACGATTATTTGCTTCACTTATCTCAAAAATATGTTTTTAAAAAGAAAAAAAATAATTATTGTTTGTCCACTTATTCTAAGTTATTTGTTAAGTTTATTGTGTAAGAAATATTTAATTCATCTTTTGACGATGTAGATAATACATGATAATAATTCACTCAATAATCTATATCAAACATGGCTTCTTTTACAATACATGAATTTTACTGAACTTTTATAGAAATTTGTTCTCTTTTTTTTTTGTAAAAATCCTCTAAAATTCCTTCATTTAGGTGGAGACTTATATATGTTGCTGACTTCTGGGCATATATGTAAGTGCCCGTACCGAAACAAGTGTATAGAGGATCAAATTAAACAAGATCCATAACCACATATAAGAAGCACTAAAAAAGAAAAAAAAACTAAACTGTATCATGTGCATGCCACCATAAAAATTACTCTTTCAGTTAGCTTCCCTTGCTACCAAACAAAACAGTATCAAGCAGCCAGCAAGCACCCAAATGATTGATGTGTGTATGGCCCTAAACATGCATACTCCTGTACTAAGATCCCTGCACACAGTATAACACTGCCTAGCTAGTCCCCCATCCTGACAACACTAATTAATTTAATTAGTTAATTAATTAATTAACCAGGTGCATGCATGCCTTAGGCTAATCCCATTATTAATCAGCAGTGCAATTGTCAGGATGGGGAGACATGCCGATCTCCATGCCTGATTCCATGACCTGAATCTGGACGTTTTTTTATATAACCACACATGGGTTTGACCAGGTCTCGACACTGCACTGACGTACGAAGTTCGTACGAAACTATGGAATATTTTCATGGTGGCTTATCAGTTGCAGCTAAATTTTAAAAATTTTAAAATTAATTTTAAAGTTGATTTTTATTTTTTTATCATCATAGTTTATCATCATGGCTTTATTTTCTTACTTATTTTATTTTTTACGGCATATTAGCAATAGCTTAATTAACCAGAGGTATATACTGTGTAGTGTGCCGATATCTTCAGGAAGCTTCAGACCCCCGTGTTATCGACAAAGGACATCGATCGATTAGATTAACTTATAAATTAATGAATAGCTAATTAATCAAAATAATACGGACTTCGGATCAACTGATCACCATAGTGAGAGATTCTAGTCACATGTAGGTCGATGACCCAATTAATGATTTCTTATCCATTGTCCAGGTTTAAATTTATCCACTATTTTCATTTGATCCATTTGGATGGGTACGGAGATAAGAAAAAAAATTATGGCAATAGCGAAAAAAATGGTTCAAATGATGAGGGTGGAGCAAGGACGGTCACGCTTGCATATACGAGATTTGTCACAAAATCGCCTAGAAATTAAATGTGACATGCCATTAAATGTTGTTACCATGATTAATTTCGTCGTTCAATTGAAATGAAGAAGGCTACAATTTTGAATAGTGGATAAATTTGTTTAAAACACCCACGCATCAGTTAAATTTGCCGCCATCACTAATTCGATTTGTTTGCATACATGATACTACCTTCGCCCTAAACTATAAGGATTAATTTTTAGATTTGAACATGATTATTAAAAAAAGTATGTAAAATTAAATGGGGAAAGATTGTAATAGGATGAAAGTGGAGGTAGGTGAAAAAAATTAAATAGTGAAGAGTTGTAATTGGTTAGGAAAAAAATTTTAGTGCGGAAGTTGTTATATTTTTGGACGAAAGAAGTAAAGGTCTTCCTTTGAATGTGTTGTGGTGTACTAAAATATATATACTCCTTGTATATAGTCTATGGATAAAAATGCAAACAAATTGCAAGATTATAGTCATTTCAACTTGGGCCCTAATGCATGAGTATATTGAAGCAAAACATACATTACTTAGCAGCAAATATGTGTGTCAATTTTGGAATATAGAAATTTTACTGGATTTTTACATAAATTAATTAATTCCCATAAATATCCTTAAAAATTCCTCCATTCTGAAATTAAAGAAGTGTCGCTCTAATCCGCTAACAACTCGATATTTTTTTCAAAAAAAAAATCTATGGTAAAAAAATATAAAAGAACGAGTCTCTATATAGATATATTTTATGTTATAAACTAATTGTGCATGACAACAATCATCTAAAAGAGCTTCCAAAGGTTCCTTTGAACAACCATATATCTACCCGACTAGACGGTTTGTGTTCAGCTGCTGGTACATGATCAGGTGAGGGCATGAGGCGTAAGGAGTGACCTTCATTTAATTCAATTATGGATTTGCCTATAGTTTAAACTTAATTTTCTCTTATCCTTATTGAGAAAACAATCCAAGAATTGCATCCATACTTTCTTTCACCCAAATGAATGTGCTATCTAGCTACACCTCCGTAATATTAAACTAGCCAGAAGTGATATATAGAAAACATTAGCAGATTTAGAACATAATTTGTTCTAAAACCAAGCATTTGCGGGGCATTTAACTATTTGTCACTCTTAAGATGTGATGATAACATATTTACCATTCGTTGTCTATGGCATGTGGACCCAGTGGTAAATCTGTTCTCATCCATTGTAAGAGTGGCAAATTGTTAATTATTCCAGCATTTGCGGGACATCCTAATTCAGAGTACACTTCCTATATGTTGTGCATTGTTTCAGAAAAATCAATTCAATGTAGTTTCACACCTCTAAAAACCAAAAAGGCTGTGAATATTTATCAGATTATCAGTAGTCCCAGACAGATGGGTCCCAGAGGGATGCCGCTTGCTGGGCCCACTCGTCATTGTCCGTCTCTCCTCCTCCCTCCCAGACAGGTGGGGCCATCAGCATGGCCTCCGCCAGCTCAGCCCACATGTTGGGCGACTTGGCCTCCAGCTCGTCGCCGCCGCCGCCGACCACCACGTCCCACTCCCACGCCGCCGCCGCCACCGCCGCCGCCTCGGCCTCGCCGGCGGAGCAGCATCGTCGTCTGGCGTCGTCTCCGCCGGCGACGACGAGGAGGTCGGGGGTGAAGCGGACCTGGGCGGCGGCCTCGAGCGCGGCGGCGCGGACGTCGCCGGGCTCGGCGGTGTCCGGGCGGCGGAAGCGGTGGGCGATCGCCGGGAAGTTGAGGCGCGCGTCCCGCCCCCGGAGGCGGAGCGCGGCCACGTCGTGCGCCACGGCGGCCATCTCCGGCGACTCGAAGCTCCCGAGCCAGATGCGCGTCTTCTTCCCGGGCTCCCTGATCTCCGACACCCACTTCCCCCACTTCCTCTTCCTCACCCCTCGGTACTGCCCCGCCATCTCCCCGCCGCCGCCGCCGCCGCCGTTCTGCATCACCACCACCTCCATTGCTGCCGCCGCCGCGCAATGCCTGCTGCTACCTGATGATCGAGCTTCGATCGATCGCTTGATTTCTTGCGAAATGCTTCAATGGCGAGCTAGCTGAGCTAGTGCGAGAGTGAGAGCTGATGCTTGGATGCGATTTAGAGGTGTATATATAGAGAGAGATGGAGAAGAGAGAGAAATTTTAGAGAGAGAGGAAGATGAAATTGATGATGGTGCATGCATGGGGTTGGGGGAGACAGCTGGAGGCTAATACGTGTCCATTTCCTATAAAAATAATTTCTTTTTTTTCACATATATAGATGTTTGTATTTATATATGTTTATGTATATAATATGTGTATATAGAAAATTGTGGGGGAGAGATTGTGCTGATGCATTATCCACCGGCAAGATGCTGGGTTTCCATTCTGGGGAGGGAGTTTCCTGGATACTTCACAGGTTTTGGTGGTTAGTTTGTGAAGTTGATCATAAACTGATAATGTACTACTAATGTCATCATGCATTTTTTTGTTTAATTGTTGCAATGTCGTTGGCTAATATATATGAATACATGATATGATCCAAAAGGTAGTTGAGTGCTTCTGTGTATATGACATATACACCCACATTTGGTATGTAACATGCATGTATATTGGTTTGAGCATTTAGTTTTATGGATGATCGACTAATTTTGTATTTATGTGTGTCATTTTAAATGTGGGCCTTCAAATTATTAATTTTCTATAATATGTATGCTCTCCTATATTATAAAATGGCTTGTGATGTGGTGTAGTGGTACAGTCATAGGCGCATTTATCTACCATGGTTAAAATCCTGTTTTTGACAAATATCAAACGTGCGTTTGTGGGTTTTCAATTAATGTAAATTTAGTGATATCAGGGATGTAAAGTTGGTTTTCATCCCTTTGAATATGTGCTAGGGGCATTTTCGTGGGTATGTGAGGTGTGATGGTGTGTGTTTAGTGGTGTGTACATATGTAACTGAAAAAAAAAATGGTTGTGAAGATTTGCTAGCTAGCTGTCACTCCTACTAAGCTAGCGCAAACACCCAATTAGACATTTAATTCTTTTGGTTTGTCATGTTTCCCTCGCACAATCACCCAATTAAACTAAACAATCTGAACATTACATTACTCTATATACATTTTGGCACAGACATGACATGATCTACCTGGTTGAATTGAGTGGTTCCCCTTAAAACAAGCAGAAAACATTTAATCACCGAAATCTACATAAAAGGTGATGCCTTTGACCACACGCACGCGCTGAGAACTACATGTAGCAGGCGTAAACCAGCATAGTTGCAGTCCAAATAAATATTTGTGGCGCTCTCAAACAGCTGTAAAACCTAGTGATATGAACAATTTGAGATTAAATACACAAAGGCATTAATTAAGCCTGACGTGGCATCGTCCAGGGATCAACACGTGTTGTGCTGGGACTTGATCATCAGTCCATCTCGGCCGTTTTATACACGTTTGTTTTTCCTCACATATTTTGTGACATCAATGTCAAACAATCCTCCTGGGGAGATTCTCAGGTAGAACCTAGTAGATATGTCACTGCCACATCTAAACGAGAGTAACTTTAAATTACTTTATGCAAAATTAACATGTGACATTCCAGATCAACCACCTTGGCACCAGCTTGATCGCTTCGAGAGATGAATCTTGATGATGTTTTGATATGTTTTATGATCAAAATATAAAGATTTGGTGAAACTTTGTCCTAAACATCAAATATATTTATGGCTGAGTTTTACAAAAGCTTTAAAATATATAATTTCTTCAACTTATTTTCACACCTTCAAACTCGCTTGTACAATTAATTATTGAACACCTAAACTTATGAAGTACTATCGGGTGCGTTCGCATCTCATGCTAGTTATTCTTTCAATGTTACATATCGTGTCTATCAATAATGAAACTTATGTACTTATAGATCGAGACAAGTGCATCTATGCTCTTCGTAGAGGTGAATTATGTGCGTGTATATGAGCACCTGTGTTTGGAACGAATTTAAAAACATTACATTAGTAGTTTAGTGCATAGTGACTAGCAAAGGTTAAGACCAACTTTAAAAATCTTTGTAGAATATCATCAGTCAAACTCTCAAGTAAATTTGGAAATGATTACCACATTTAAAAATAGTTGCGAGACCTTGATATTCTAGCTCTATCGTCTCGTTTGCTCTTCAGCTTATCAATAATAGCCAATTAAAATTTTAAAACTTAATTTTAGAGTTTAATTTGCTTTTCCTTTATCATAGTTTATTTTTCAGCATTGATTTCTAATTAAGTTTCTAATATATACAATTTTTTCTTATAAATTACTTTTTAGGGTAATAAGTTTTGTGGCTTACAATTAATTATAGACAAAACGAGGTGACTATAAGCTTAAACTCAGCATTTCATAATTGTAATTTGCAGAGGGGTCGTTGTCATGTCTTAATCGCACGCATGGGCTTGGGGTTGGAGTTGGACTAGGAGAGGCAGGCTGGCTTCCATTACACAAGAAAATTATTTTTTTAAGAGGTTACACAAGAAAATTATTATTGTGAGATGCAGAGAAAGGGGAAATTAAGCTAGGGGAGAGGGACAAACGAGAGGCACCTGCAGCGGCGATACGTGTCCACGCGACTTTGACCGTTGCACGGACTTCTCCGTCCGTACTACTGGTCACCGCTGAGGTGGGCCCACCGGCCCAGCATCACTGAACGAATTTTCAGCTCGCTTTTTTATTTTATATTTTTATAGGCTATATAAGCTAATTACTTTTTTTTCATTATATGGCAGTCACACGCGTGCACATTATTACACACGTAATACTGCTACACTCACAACACCATGGATGCACCCCTAATACACATGCCCTAAGATATGAAAACCAACAGGTGACGGCACATCCTTAATCATAATAAACCCTGTTGAAAACACACACTTATGAGTCTAAATTTTATAAATTCTAGGATTTAAACACTGGTGGATGGACTATGGAGTCATATACCCACAACTTCACCATTACTACCGATCGATGCTTCCATTAGCTCATGTTTCGTTCACTCATCGTACACAATTTAATTTTAACGCTGGTTGAAGTATTGATCACAAAGATATATAATGCAGTCCCATGTCCTAGTAAAAAAGTGGGTTTTTGTTTTTTTATTTATCTTATAAAACTTAGGGTCCTATCGACATCTTAATACCACTACATTTTTTTCTTCTCATTTTAGCCATTAAATCATTAGTACTCCCTTCTTCTCATTAGCTAAATGCTCATGCTTTGCTACGTATAACAAAAATATCATAATATTTTCTAAAATAAATAAATCATATTTTCCATGAAAAATGTTACCCATATTTTTCCCTATAACAAAATTTGGCTACCCACATTAATTTTATATGTGGCTATCCATTTAGATTTAGTTGTTTTGTAATATTAAGAAGTTTGAGCGGTAATATATATGTCAAAATTGTAATGGAAGTAGGTGGGGTAACAGATAGTCTTTTTAAATTAGGAGTATAGATTTTTCTCCCTACATTAATAGAGGATGTAATATTTATTTGGTATCTTTCTTGATATACTTTGACTTTCGAAAATAACCATCTTATTGGGACGAAGGGAGTATATTTGAGGGAATTTCTTGTGTTTTCAGCTCACTTCTTTAATGTTTGTCAACTGGTGGAAAGACTTTCTGCAATTCCATTGTTTTATGATTTGTTATATTTTTCATTTTCTTAGCAAGCTAACGAGCCAAACCAGGTGGAAACAACTTAATTCCGTTCAAAATAAAATAATTTTAATTTTTTTAAAATGTAGATGAATCAAAGCAATTTTGATCCGAGACAGCTAAATTAAACTAACTTTTTTATTCTTTTACCAACATTTTCATCCATGGTGAGGGTGTTAATTATAGTTCTTTATTTAATCTGAATTTTTGGCACTAATCTCAAAGTCCCATGAAATTAAGCGATAATAATTTGTGGGTCTATAGGCCCCCCAAATCGAAAAGGACAGCATGGAGTCGATTTTGTGGGCACTGCCGGTGGGGTCTGATGAGCATGTACACAGCAGAGCCTGGATGCATGTGTTCAATCAATTATAATTCTTAGTTTGGTGGAATAATGAAATACTCTTCGTATGCACATCCTTTTTTTTCAGAGTAATAGTAGATAGATCTCATTTTTCAACAAAAATCGTAGAGTACTGAGTACGTACAGATGAGGATGAGGCTGATACGCAGGATCTAGTGATATCTGTCTATAGCATTGATGTCACCTTCAACCAGCAGATCCTCTGCATTTAGCTAGACACAAACAAACAATTTGGATAACTAATCTCTTGTTTTTTCTTTTATTTTTGCGATTATATATAGGCCTAAAAGCAAAATAGTAGTAGCTACTAGTATTGTAGGTATATTTGCGGGTGTGTGAGTGTGGTACATGTTCGTGAGTATTTCCTCCAGGCTGATAATATTAGTCGTTTTGGACAAGGGTAAAGTCAAACTTTAAAATCTTTGACTACAAATAATTTCTAAAATATTTATCTTAAAAATATGAAAACCACATGTATAGATTAGTCTTAAAAAGTACTTCAATAAAATCATATATTTGTTGGAATTTCTATATATTTTATAATGGAAAATAGTTGTAAAAGTTACGTTTTGAAGACCGTGCCCTTGTCCAAAACGACAAGTATTATTAACCCGGAGGAAGTAATATTTCTTTTTTTGCACCATTTAGGGCATGTTTGGTAGAGCTCTAACTTCTAAATTTAGCTTCACGAGTTGAGTCTGGAGTAGAGTTGTGGAGCTGTCTAAACCCAGTTCCACCTCTCTAGTTCATTTTGTGAGAGCGCTCAACCCAGCTTCGCTCCCATTTTAAATGGAGCTAAAACTGTTTGGTTGGGCTACACCTCCAGGAGAGGTGGAGCTGGATCTAGAGCTATGCTAAACATGCCTTTATTAAGTTGCTCTATTTCTGAGTTATCCTGACTGGTTTGGTTTAGAATACTCAAACACCAAATAGCAAACCATTTTTAGGGAAAAAAACTGTCAGGTAATGCCTCGCATTTATATTTAACAAACTAATTAAAGAAAACATACACACAAAGTTAATTTAAAGTTTTTTTTACTATATCATGAAATTGCAGCTTTCATTTATACACTCTAATTGTTACTACCCTCTCTATCTAAAATATAAGACGCAACTACCACTAACGCAATAACCATAAATTATTACTA